AATTGGTGGTTGAATGAATCAGTGAATTAGGATATTTCTTTGTGGACAATAAAGAGGAAAAAGAAAGATTAATGAAGTCAAACTTTTTTTTTTGCAATCTATGTGCTGCAAATATTCCTATTCTATTTAGAAGCAACACAAAAAAAAAAGTCACTCTCTGAAAACCTGATACCTCCTATTCAAATAAAGGCAAAATTGTCCCCGAAGAAACCTCATTATTCACCAAGTTGTTCACCAGATTGGCTCTTTTTTGTTAACTTAAAAACTTTTGTATGTAAGGGTGGATGTTTGGTTTCTAACAAAACAAGTCAATCTGGTGAACAATTCCTTTTTTTTTATGTCGAAATTTATTCATTTTTTCGCTTGGACTTCTTGAATCCTCTAGTCTAACTTTTTTAGCTTGATTCTTGCTTTCATTGGAGTACTTGATTATAAAAACGTACTCTTAATAACAGGCATTGAACGGTATTTAGAGCCCGACAAGATCGCGTCCACATCTTGAAATATATATCTCCCACATTGGGACTTCTCAGAACTACGAGCATATCTAGGTGATATTGGTTCGATGAATTGAAGTCTCCTCCAAATGGATACTCTCTTGTGATAATTGCTTTTCCATTCGACAAGATGTCTGCAGCTATCTGAACAACGTAATTCCTTGCAATTCCCGTGTCTACTAAAGTTTTGCCTACCAGTGCGTCTAAATTAATAAGTAAGATATCTCAGGTAGTTTTCGTTCCATTGAACATAGAAAAAGTCAAATTCGACGTAAAAAATTGAATTCGTTTATTTTAAATGAATCTGTCGCAAGCAACTTCTTGCTATTCTGATTCTTCATATTCCAGATTATTTAGACCCAGAATTCAAGCTGCAATATGAGGATTCGTTATTGGATTCTTCTATATTGCTGTATTGCATGGTTTCAGACTTATGTATGATTTTAAACATGTTTATTAAATATGCATTTTTTATCAAAGAATGGATTGGGATGCCTTCGACTATAGGAAGACTTCTGATTTTCAACTTCTAACCAACTGGGGTTAAAAAAAGTTGGTTGCAAAAGAAGCGAACCCTGCAATTTTCTTAGGCTCCGTTAAGTGGGTGATACAAGCAACAACAACGGCAATGAATACACTATGATATCGGTTGGTGACGAGTTGACGACGAGTCCATGATTTGGCCCGATTAAGAAGTTATAATGTGGCTCATACTTGACTAACTGAAGAAGAAGAAGAAGAAGAAGATATTTTCTAAATCTCATTTCTTTTGCAACACCAGAAATATTTGACTTTGATGGAACCATTAGCCAAGAGACATTTCTCCTCACCTAAAATGTCGTCCAATCATAATGTCGAGTAGAGTGCCTTAATGTAATCAACCTAAAGGAGACAACCTCATTCACCACACATGGGAAAGGCCAACATCATTATAATCATGGCTCAGCAACCCAACGAAAGCCTTTTACTATCCATCTCGTTCCCTCTATCAAATTACCACTCCTGTTTTACCTACCATAATTTATATATGTCATAAAAACTAGAAAGCAAGTCTTATTATGCCTCAAGGAAGTAATAAAATTCACATTATGAAGCCACCTTAGCTGATAGACATAATGAATGATATATTGTGAGTGGACTTAAACGTCACATATTCTAAGGAATTGGGTTATTTCATATATTTAATTGTTGAAAGTACATACCAATATATGATTTTAATAATTACCAATTTGTTAATTCTAATTGGAAGAAACAAATGGGAGCGGTTACGGCGCGATACAGGATGCAGGAATTTTTTTCCGTTCCTCCATCTTCAAACAATCAATCAATCGCACACCAATTTGAGTCATCAATCAAAAGACGACAGGAATGAAAAATTTCAATTCTTTTCAATTATTCTTCTTCTCTTCTTTCTTCCAACACACAATTGCACTCCCCAAGTAAACAAGATGAGTTTCCTCCTTACCAAGAGAGCAACTTCACTCAAGAAGTCTCAATTATCCACCCTCCTTGCCAAATCATTCTCCACCTCAATTCCAATCTCGCAAGAAAAAAAATTGAACAAATATTCTTCCATCGTCACCAATGATCCTTCTCAAGGTGCATCCCAAGCCATGCTTTATGCCACCGGTTTCTCCGATGCCGATTTCTCCAAGGCCCAAATCGGGGTTGGTTCCGTCTGGTGGTCGGGAAATCCATGTAATATGCATCTTATGGAATTAAACAATAGATGTAGTGAATCGGTGAATAAAGCCGGTTTGAAAGCTATGCAATTCAATTCAATTGGTGTTAGTGATGGGATCACCAATGGGACCGAAGGGATGAGATATTCATTACAATCACGTGAGGTTATTGCTGATTCTTTTGAAACTATGATTATGGCACAATTATATGATGGGAATATTGCTATTCCATCTTGTGATAAGAATATGCCAGGGACTTTGATGGCTATGGGTAGACATAATAGACCTTCGATTATGGTGTATGGTGGGACTATTTTACCTGGGTCTCCAACTTGTGGTACTAAGAACCCAGCGGTTGCTGATAAGATTGATATCATTAGTGCATTCCAATCATATGGACAATATTTATCAAAACAAATTACTGATGAAGAAAGAGTGGATATTGTTAAGCATGCATGTCCTGGCCCTGGTGCTTGTGGTGGGATGTATACTGCTAATACCATGGCTTCAGCTGCTGAAGTTATGGGGATGACATTACCTTTCTCTTCATCCGCTCCTGCTGTTTCTAAGGAAAAAGCAGCTGAATGTGCTAGTGTTGGTGAAGCCTTAAAGAATTTATTGATTATGGATTTGAAACCAAGAGATATCTTGACTAAGAAATCATTTGAAAATGCAATTGCCTATATTATTGCCACTGGTGGATCTACAAATGCTGTTTTACATATTATTGCTATTGCCAGTTCTGTTGATATTGAAATTACTGTGGATGATTTCCAAAGAATTTCCGATACAACTCCATTATTAGCTGATTTCAAACCAAGTGGTAAATATGTGATGGCTGATTTACAAAAGTATGGAGGTACACCAGCAGTCATGAAATACTTAATGCAAGAAGGTTTCATTGATGGTGAACAATTAACCGTCACTGGTAAATCAATTAAAGAAAACTTGAGCAAACTTTCCGGCTTACCAATTGAACAAGATATCATTCGTCCAATTTCTAATCCATTAAAACCAAGTGGTCATTTACAAATCTTAAAAGGTACACTTGCCCCAGGATCTGCAGTTGGGAAAATCACCGGTAAAGAAGGGACTTATTTCAAAGGAAAAGCCCGCGTTTTCGATGATGAACATGCATTCATTACTGCTTTAGAAAAGGGAGAAATCAAAAAAGGTGAAAAGACAGTTTGTGTAATTAGATATGAAGGTCCAAAGGGTGGTCCAGGTATGCCAGAAATGTTAAAACCATCATCTGCATTAATGGGATATGGTTTAGGAAAAGATGTTGCCCTTTTAACTGATGGAAGATTTTCAGGGGGATCTCATGGTTTTTTGATTGGACATATTGTTCCAGAAGCTGCTGAAGGTGGTCCAATTGCTTTGGTGTATGATGGGGATGAGATTGTTATTGATGCTGAAAATAATAAAATTGATTTATTGGTTGATGAAGATGTTTTGGCTGAAAGAAGAAAGAAATGGAGTGCTCCTGAACCTCGTTATAAGAGAGGTACTTTAGCTAAGTATGCTAAATTGGTTAGTGATGCCTCAAAGGGTTGTGTTACTGATTTAGTTTAGTTGTATCTGATTACATTTTTAGTTGAAATTAAAGTTGTCGATTTGAAGGACATATTTTTCAATTCTTATGACTGATGAATGATTGATCATTTGTGTTTTAAGCATATTGCTTGTTTTTTTTTATATATATTACGGTAAAAAAGGTCATAAATTAATTTATTTATGTGTGTATAATTTTAAATATCCCAATGAATGGATTTTCTAAGTTTAGAAAGAGTTCAAATGAATGTCTATTAAGCAGTAAAAGATCTAAGGTTGAGGGGGGTATATATATAAAACTATTTCATTCTCACGGTATAATCGTCACCGCTTTGAGTGATATATCTAACCCAAGGATAAGATTGATATTGTAATTTAGGTTCATTAATCCTTAAGTATCTAACTTGAATACCACTAGTTGTAAAATATGGAATATTAAATGTTACTTTTATAGGTTTCTTAGTCATAATTGATTCCGTATCAACAACTGCAGGTAAACCTAATTCTGCCCTCATTATATATTGTTTCCCACCGGGGAAAGTTTTTAATTTCCATACAAGACAAGATTTCTCAGGAATCCATTTAACTGTTCCATATTCAGGAGTGAATTTTGGAGTATCGGCATCTTCTGGGATTGGAATTATAACTTCTACATTATTTGCAGTTGATTTCTTTTTGATTTGGGTTTTCACTGAACATATGATTTCAATACGAGAATGTTTATGAACTTTAGTTTTACAATTGACAAGGATTAATGGTTTCATTAAGAATTGGGCTGATGATAATCTATATGACATTAATGTGAATTCACCATCTGGTGGAATAAATGTTATTATTCTTTCATTTTCAAATTTTGATAATCTAACACATTGATGGAATTTAATATCTTCCATTTCAATTCCTTTATTATTTGTATCGGCGGTTTCACCTGAAGTAAAGATTCCCTTATCATTAAGACCTAATCTTAAATCTGGCATACCACTTAAATGAGATTTAATTTTAACTTCTCCCAAGATTTCACTATTTAATACTTGACCTTGGGCATTAATTAACATATTTATAGATTCAACCACATCTAAAAATGCTTCATTCTTTTTATAAAAGATACCATCTTTTCTCCAACTAACAGCATTAGTAACTGCATTTGGAGGTTGAACTAAATGATTTGGTGTTGATCTAATCAACGAATAATAATCTTGAGTAATATATTCTTTTAATATTTTTGTATCAGTAGTTTGAGGAACACCAAAATCCATCATTTCATCTAATAATTCATATATAATAACAAAATTATCTCTAATACTTTCTTCTTCTAAAGATTTGAAATATTGAGTCATAACTTCAATTAATTTGGATAAGAAAATGACAATTGCCATAATGTTTTCATTCTTACGAGTTAATGCACATAGGTAAAGATTATTATGATTAATGAAAATGTAATTGATCCCTTGATGATTAATAAATGGTTTATATTCTCCTTCATCATTCTCTAAATCTAATAATAATAATGGGAATTTCTCAATCGTATTGGTTGGGATATCTCCCTTGTAATCTCGTGAAAGCAATGGCTTACCCTTTATGTCTAGGAAATGAATCTGTGATGCCATGATGATGACTTATTACTACTACTTCTATTAATTCTTTAGTAATTGGCTGGTAGCTGTATGGTTTTTACAACAACAAAAGAAAATGACAAATTTTGAAAACTGGTTTTTTTGTTTGTCGACAAAAACATCCAATCTTCAATAATAGGAAGCACTTCGTATGGAAGTAACACAGCCTACTACTACTTCTACTACTAACTTTTACCAATACCATCTCAAGTCAAGGTATACAATGATATGGTACAAGGAATAAGCCAGTTGTCTTTTTCTCTTTCTCTTTTGATATTTCAAATTGGTTACATCTTTAGAAAAACATCTTTTTGTCAACAGCAGCAACAACAACAGTAAATTAAACAAAAGATTTTGGTTGCAAATGTAACATTCACCAGTTGCTGGAATAGTTGGGAAAGGAAAATATGATGCTAAGTCAAGCCCCTGCTGAGTTGGATAGCTTTCAACAAAAGCGACAATAAAGAACCAAAGGTATCCCTAGAAAAAGTTCGCATAAATACCGGAATACTTTGTATTGGTATAGCTGTACCAAGGGTGACTTAATTGTTCATTTCAATTAAATAGACAAAGCTCTAAGTAAAAAAGGATTGAGAGATTTGCTCAAATTATTTAATAAAACAATATTTAACTATTATTAATTAATAGTAGCACAACCCCTTCAACCATCAACCCTTCTCCCCTATATATCTGACTATGTGTTTGTGAAAGAGTTAATTGTGTATAACAATTCAAACAATTGTTTATGGAAATGAATGAAATAAATAAATTTCCTGTGGAGAGGATATTCTCGGGGTTGATTTCCCGTGAATCTCCGCAACAAATAAACGCTATCGAGTTTAAATTAAAATTCGTCCTATGTAATTAATGAAATTATTCCAGATGAAGAAGAATTTATAAAAATTTATAAAAATATTTCTCTAGAAGACTATTGGCTTGATTAATTGATTAAAATATAGAAAACAATTTGTATAACATATCAAAAACATCATGTTTGATCATATTTCTAAGAGTATTAAGTTATCTCTTAATCTGAAACAAGATGATAAATATAGTATATTTAAATTACATAAATATGCTTATTTTGGTAAATTAGAATTATTTAAACAATATTATAATTATTCAAATCATAATAAATTTGAATGGACATTAAATTATTGTATAATTATTGGAATATTAAGAAATATTGAGTTTGCTAAATATATTTTAATTAGTAGTAACTTGATGAATAAGAAGAATGGAAGGTCTTTTGTTTATTCAGATTATTTAATAAGTTCATTTATAAATAATGGTGAATTTGATAAAAGATTAAATTATAAACAAGGTTTCTTACATACTGATTTTTTAGCTTTAACTAATAAAGAAAATGTTTTAAAATTGATTGGTAAAGATCCAAATCTAGATTTGTTATTAGCTTATATTGTTACTATAAATTATAAACAGTATGATAAAGAAGATATTTGGAATCAATTGAACATTACAAATCAATATTCAGAACATATTAAGAAACTTGTATATTATTATAATTTACCTGATTATGATAATAAATATCCTAATTATAAATTTGCAATTAATGTGTTTACCGATTTATCAATCTTTTCTAAATTTAAATATAATGAAGGAGATTTAGATTTAAATTTATTTAATAAGAAGATAACTATTAAATCATTAAAAGAGATTTATAATTATAATGATAATTCACCAGAATTAGCAAGTTTTCATTATTCTAAGATAAGAAATATTGATAAATATATTTTAAATCATGAAACTAAGTTATCTATGGGGAGATCTACTAGTAATAGTGGATGTGGTAACTATTCAAGAAGAGAAATCTTAGAACATGTTGAAAAGGCAATTGAATTATATAATTCAGGTAAATTAATCAATGTTTGTATATCTAAATTTGTTTGTATTGATCCTGAATATTCATTACAATTGATAAAAGTACAACATAATGATAAGTCGCCATTCTTAATATTTTGTAATTATGGATATAATGTTGAATATATTAATGAATATAAACTTATTAATCCATTATACAAATATGTTTTCTTATATTCAAACATTTTAATTAATAATACTAAAGTTTATATGATGAAATATATTGGTATTGATGATGACCAAGATGATTTCATTGAATATAACTTAATTCAAGCTTGTTTAGTATCTGGTAATATGGAACACTTTGATCAATTAATGTCAATATATAAGAAATTAAACAAATGTTATAAATTAATTGATTTTGAGAATGAACAATTCTTGGAGAATAATTATATCAATATTAAATTAGATGAAGAAGAACTTAAACTGCAAGTTAAATTTGATATTTCATATTATAACAATTATAATTATTTGGTTTGATTCTACTCATGTATATAGAATATAAACACAGTATGCTTAAAGAGTGATTTGGTAATTAGGGGAATAAAATAGCAAACAAACACGGACTTGATGATTCTAAATAAATAAATAAATAAATATAGAAATACAAACCTAAACTAAACACAAAACCATTACAACTTAGCAACCTTCAATCTTGCAGCCAATACCAAAGATTGTTCAATTTCATATAAACGATGGAAAATAGCACCAAAGAATCTGGAGGCTACTGGTCTCTTGATCTTGAAAGTAGGAGTAACAACATCTCTTTCAACAGTCAATGGATTAATTTCAATATGAATATTATGTAATATCTCAAATCCATGTAATTTCCCGTTAACATTCTTATTTATCATGTCTAAAAATTTACTCTTTACATTGACACTATTCATTTCAATTAACATTTCTTCACTTGACATACCAATCTTATTATAGCCAAGTTGATTTAAAAACTTCAACCCTTTTTCATATTCAATACCTACAATCCCAACCAAGTATTCCTTCAACGAATCACCATGGACATATAATTGACTAATCATTGGATTGGATGACAAATATCTATTCTCAATCTTTTCAGGTGAAATATATTCCCCTTGTTGTAACTTAAAGAAATTCTTCACTCTATCAATAATACTAATCCTACCAGTCTTTGGATCAACACT